ACTCTCTCGGAACTTTCCGATTATTTGATTTCTCAGGAATATATCTGCGCAGGTGATGGTCCGGTTGGTGCGCCGGTGGCCTTGGCTGTTCATCGTGGTGGCCGAGGCGGTCGTGGCGGAGGCCGGTTCTCCCGAGGTGGCTCGGGCAGTGGGGGTTCCGGCGGCAGTGGCTCGGGCAGTGGCAGCCGTGGTCGCGGCGGCCGGGGCCGTGGCCGTGGTCGCGGCAGCCGGAGCCGTGGCCGTGGTCGCTCGGATGTCCGTTGTCAGATTTGTGACAAGGTTGGGCACTCGGCGGTGAATTGTTGGCGCCGTTACTCTGAGTCATCTGGTCCTCAGGCTAATGTGGTTTTTTCTAGTAGTGAGGGTGGTTCGGTTACCTCTCACCAGTGGTTTCCTGATACGGGGGCTACAAATCATGCCACTCCTGATTCCTCTCAGTTGATGTCCTCGGCGGGTTATGACGGTCCAGACACTCTACGAGTCGGCAGTGGTGAAGGTATGCCTATTTTTAGTGTTGGGTCTACTTCGATAGCCTCGTCTTCTAGGGTGTTTCGTTTAGATGATGTATTGCATGTTCCTGGTTTGTCTTCCTCTTTGATCTCTGTTCAACGCTTTGCTAAAGATAATCGTGTCTTTTTTGAGTTTCATCCTGACTGTTTTCTTGTGAAGGATCTCTTGACCAGGGAGGTGGTTTTTAAGGGGGGTACTTCTGGTGGCTTATATTCCTGGCCTGCGTCTCCTGCTCGTTCTGTTGCTTATGTTGCTGCGCGTGCTTCGTCCTCTACGTGGCACAAGCGGCTTGGTCACCCTCATACTCGGGTTCTTCGTCAGATTTTGCAGTCTTCTGGTGTTAGCAGTTTTAATTCTAGTGATTTATCTCGTTTATGTTCTTCGTGTCAGTTAGGGAAGTCATCCCGTTTTCCATTACCTCGTGTTGAAACTAAAACTACTTGTGTATTAGAATTGGTTTATACTGATATTTGGGGCCCTGCGCCTGTGCACTCTGTGAATGGTTTTCGTTACTTTGTTTTATTTGTGGATGACTTCTTACCCGTTTTATTTGGTTTTATCCGATGCGCTTAAAAACTGATATATATTCCATATTTGAACGGTTTCGGTCACTTGTTGAGCGCTCGTTTTCTCAAAAAATACTTTCTATTCAGTCTGATTTAGGGGGAGAGTACAAGAAACTTCACTCTACCTTTGAGTCTCTTGGCATTCGTCACAGACAGTCATGTGCATACACACATGAACAGAATGGGCGGGTAAAACGCCGTAATCGGCATATAGTTGAGACTGGTTTGGCCCTGATGGCTCAAGCGTCTATTCTCTCTCGTTTCTGGGACTATGCGTTTGAGACTGCTGTATACTTGATTAATAAAATGCCTACCAGTGTCTTAAACAATGAGTCTCCTCTCTTTCGTTTACACCGGTCCCCTCCGTCCTATTCTTTTTTGCGTGTCTTTGGGTGTCTGTGTTTTCTTTTATTACGTCCCTATAACCGTAATAAATTGGAGTACCGTTCTTCTCCTTGTGTGTTTTTAGGATACCCTGACTCTTTTCGTGGCTATCGTTGTCTGAATCCTATCACTAATAAGGTCTTTATCTGTCGCCATGTGCGATTCAATGAGTCCGTTTTTCCCTTTGCTGGCTCTGTTTCTTCGCAGGTGGTGTTTCGGCCTCCAGTGGTGCCGTGGGGTGTTGCCCCCATCGTTCCTGTTTCTTCTTCTGTTGCGGAGCCTGTAGATGATGCGCCGGTTCCGGGTATGTCCTCTGGTCCGGTTGACTCTGTCTCCACTGAACGGACTGTTTCGGCCGTTCCTAAGCCTTCTCGTGGCCGGCCTCGTGGTAGTAACAACAAGGTGGCAGGTCCGCGCTCTCATGTTATGGCGACGAGGAGTCGGGGCCCGCAGCAACATGTGGCTCTCGTTTCTGCTACTACTACTCCTGAGCCGACATGTTACTCTCAGGCTGTGGCGCATTCGGAATGGCGTGAGGCCATGGATGCTGAGTTTAATGCTCTACTTCAAAACCAGACTTGGAGTCTGGTCCCGTACACTCCAGGTAAGAATGTTGTGGGTTGCAAGTGGGTGTTTCGGGTGAAACGGAATGCTGATGGGTCTATTGAGCGACATAAGGCTTGTCTGGTGGCCAAAGGTTTTAATCAGGTCGCTGGTAAGGATTTCTTTGAGACTTTCAGTCCGGTGGTTAAGCCAACCACGGTTCGTCTTCTTCTATCACTGGCTCACTCCCGTGGTTGGTCCATTTGTCAGCTGGATGTCCACAACGCTTTTCTAAACGGTAACCTGGCGGAGACAGTGTATATGCGTCAGCCGCCTGGTTATGAGGATAAGTCTGTCCCTGATTATGTCTGCCATCTACAGCGTTCCTTGTATGGACTGAAGCAGGCCCCTCGTGCCTGGTTTACCCAGTTGCATGATTTTCTTATTTCTGTTGGTTTTGTTCCGTCCAAGACTGATGTTTCGCTGTTTATATATTCTGTCAGTGGTGTGCAGCTTTATTTTCTTGTGTATGTTGATGACATTTTAGTCATGGGAACAGACTCGAGCCGTGTTGATGGGCTTGTGGCTCAGCTTGCGCGTACATTCAAGATTCGGGACATGGGACCCCCGTCTTTCTTTCTTGGCATTGAGACGTTGCCTCTACATGATGGTATTCTTCTCTCTCAATGGCGTTATATACAGGATATTCTTAAGCGTGCAGGAATGGTTGACTGTAAGCCGGTTTCTACGCCTATTTCGGTCACTCGGTCTGATGATGATGATTCTACTCCGTTTGCTGATCCTACCCACTACCGTAGTATTGCGGGTGCACTTCAGTACCTGACGGTGACTAGGCCAGATTTGTCATATGCAGTTAACAGGCTTTGTCAGCGCATGCAGTCCCCCACTACTGCTGACTGGGCGGTTATGAAACGTGTTCTGCGGTATGTGAAAGGAACTCTTGGTATGGGTCTCTGTATTCGCAAGTCGGAGTCTCTTGCGTTGCATGCGTTCTCGGATTCGGATTGGGCAGGTAATCCGGATGACCGGAAATCTACAAGTGGTTTTGCAGTATTCTTGGGCTCCAATTTAGTTGCTTGGTCTTGTGGGAAGCAGCGGACAATGGCGCGGTGGCGCGGTCCTCTACTGAAGCCGAATATAAGGCGCTGGCTGATGTGGCAGCGGAGGTCACGTGGTTGGTTTCTTTGCTGCGCGAGATTGGCTTTCCTCCAGACTCTGCGCCGAGACTGTGGTGTGATAATCTTGGGACAACATACCTCTGTGCTAATCCGGTTTTTCATGCACGAACAAAGCATGTTGAAATTGATTATCACTTTGTTCGCGACAAGGTTGCCAAGAAGGAGTTGCAGGTTCATTTTATCTCCACGAAGGACCAGCTAGCTGATATTTTCACCAAGCCACTTGCATCTGCTCGGTTTTCATTGCTTCGGGACAAGCTCAATGTTTCGAATGCTCCACCTTGAGCTTGAGGGGGAGTGTTAGGACTCTAGTATTAGTAGTCTAGTAGAACTCTTTTATACTTGTCTTCTATCTCTTCTATATTAGTATTGTACAGATGATTATTCGTTCTAGTTAATCAATACAATCCTCCAATCTAACATACGAAATGAAGTTGTAGGACACAAAACAAATTAAATTAATTCCCATATATATATATATATATATATATATATATATATATATATATATATATATATGACTATATGTGTGGGTTCATTTAATTTGAGTCCTCACAAAATCAAAACCAAGATCTCGTCATGTGGACTTCTGAAAGTTCCGAGTACGAGTATTAATGTCTGGTGATATATATATCAAAGCCCCCTATTCCAAGGATTTTGTAGGCCAAATTTAAATTTCCACTGTCCTTTTGATCTCTCTCATCATTTTCTTTTCTTTTTTGGTCATGTCACAGTTAAATGTTCATGTCGTCATACATGAATATAGATAGATGTTTAACAAATGTTCGTACACTATCACGGTCTACCTCTTATAAGCATGCTAATCCTATATATATATATATATATATATATATATATATATATATATATATATATATATATATATATATATATGTATGCATGAATGTATATAGTTTTGTTTTTTTTTTTAATAAACATAAAATATTAGGAAGGAGAGGTGGATTAAATTAAATATCCATTTAAAGGTTATGATTAATTTAACGGATCAAACTCTATAGACACTAATTTATAATATAGAGTTGTTAATTACTTGCATGAACTCAAAAGCATATTATAGCATATAATTAAAGCTAAATGTGATGTGTCCACCCTCCATCTACGTCTCATAATCCAAACCCACAAAAATGCATATATAGGTTGCTTCTGTGTCTTTTCAATCTATCTTCATCCTCTAATGTTGAATTTCCAATCCCAAAGCCACCAAATCCCTGTTCGAAGAACATTTGGGAGGATATAAATCACGATAACTTAGACAGGACTGTGCACACAAGAGATTTGTTCACTTTGGTCATAATCTCTACATTGCCGCTGTCGAGTTTCGAACCTTAGTCTCTTCTCCTAAATACTGTCTACTAAACCAGTGAGCTAAGCATGTACATAAACCATTGCATATGATAATGATTATGGCTTTCACATGCATATGTTTTGAACTAAAGATAGCAATTAGTATATATAGTAGTTAGTTGACAATGAGGTTTAGCTGGAAAGGGATAACATGTAGTGTGATGCATATATATTACATGTCTTCATCATCATCATCATAATCATAATCATCATACCCCTCTTACAATATAATATATATATATAATAATGATAGACATATTACATGGCCAAAACTTATATGGTCTGCAGACATTCATTCCAAGCCTCTTCAATTCCGGCCTGCTGCTAGCTGGAATATTCTACCATGCACTAACTAATACTAAGATATATAATTTAAGGAATAATAATAATAATAAGTTGAAGCTAATTAAGTGTTGTTGACAATAATGTCTCATCACTTTCCTGTTTTGCCCTTCCAAAAGCCGCCGCCGCAGCTTCTCCTCTCCTTGTGGGATTTTGCGCTATGAACAGACGACTCTTCCTTTTCTCCTCCTCCTCCTCCATTCTTCTCCTTCTTCTTCTTCACAGATGATGATGGGTTCTTGCTGGTTTTGCAGTTTGGAACTGGGAAACTCTTGTCAGAATATCCATGATTCTTGCCCCTCATCATAACGATGGAATCTTTGTCGTTCTTGGAATGAATCTTTCCATTAACCCACCAGTGACTGGGGCCAGACGAGGCATCAGAAGCCATGGAATCATCGCTGTTTTCTTCTTCTGCTTCATAGGAATCTCCATTAACGTTGTTGGTGTTGAGGTGGTCGTCGTCTTCGTCGGTGGTGGGAGAGCCAATGTACATTGTCCAGCCGGATTCATTGCTGTGGCATTCTTCTGGGGCTCCGTAGACATGGGAAGACTCCATTGATAGGTGCAGCAATATGAGAGAATGGGTGGGAATGAATATAATGAAGCAGATGGATGGATAGAAGAAGGAATTTATGTAGTTGTTTCAAAACCACATGCGTGCTTTATTATTATTGCTGTATGTATCATGTATATGTGTTCTCACCTATACATACACCTCTCCACATACATACAACAAACATGCCTGCGTTGCACCTTTAAAAGCGACGTCTCCACTTAATTAAGTATTCATTTTAATCTAGTAAAGCCCAATAAAAGAAGTTATATATATTTAATTCATTAGGTAATTAAGTGTTGGATAGTAAATTGACAAGTCTAACAATTGGTGACTTAGAGATTGTTAGGCAGAGGCTAGTGGAAAGTCAAACTCAACACACTGCCTTCCTAAAATGCATAGCAATATACAAGAAAATAAAGTTGCTTCTTAATTGCTATGAGCTATAGCTCACGGGTTCAGTCTCAACAAGAATAAAATTAAAAGGGTGACTAGCATTTCCAAAAAAAAAAAAACCACTAATGGAAATTATTGAATTTTCGACCACATGAAAGTGATTTTAAATCAAGTCAAAAGCAAAAAGTGGTCAGAAATAGCAACAAAGGTTTTTCCCGATACCAAAAGTGGTCGGAACATGACTTTCGACTTGATTTAAGATCACTTTCAGGTGGTCGGAAATTCCATAATTTCCAGCAGTGAACAACTGTGACTAACAGACGACGGGAGGGGGAATAGAGGGAATGGTTGGAGGAAGGGTGGTAAAGGGTCAAGTCCAGAAATTAGTGGCTAGGGAGATTATTGAGCGGATGTCGGGGTGAAGGGTCAAGTCCAGTACCTTGCCTCTCGAAAATGTGATGAGAATATATAAAAAATAAAATATCTTTATTGTGAACTATATCTTTTGGTGTAATGGTAAGAGCTTGATTCCAAAAGCATTATAAATTTTTTTAATTAATTTCATTAGAAGTCATTTCTTACCAGCTGAATTAGGTATGCTCATTCCATTTGAACTGACAAATTGTACCACCACAGACCACCACAGAGTTGCTACAATTCATTGGAGAAAAAAAAATTGAGTGTTACCTATCTTTACTATATAAAGTAAAAGTATGAATGATATTACTTGCACCTATAATCTGTTAAACAAAATATGTAGCCTCTTATATAGTTCCATCTTATCAACTCCTAACAAAATCAATTAATTTGTGTTTAGTTAAACAAAAAATCAAGAAGAAGATTAGACACCCATAATTACGATGTTAGGTAGAAATCGGTCAAATCCAGTAATTGGTGATTAAAGAGATTTTTGGACTGAAGTCAGTGAAGAGTCAAGTCCAACACCCTGTGTCTTGAAAGCTTTTGACATGGCTTGATCCTAACAAGTGATATCAGTTCGAGTTCGAGTAAGAGCAGTTAAACTTGTTAGGAGGGGAAAAAGATATTGCATTTTCTTTTAAGCAAGAATGAATTATTAAGAGAAAAAAAGAAAGAGGGCTCAAATCTTAATGGAATAGCTGGATAAAATTTTACCACCTGGATGAGTACACAGCCATAATTTCCCTGACTTTACATCACCAGAGGGACAGCTAGAAGCTGTCAAAGATGACAGAGAAACCTGTCTTACAAAAGGCATAACCCCCCCAACCATCCCCCCATCCTCAACCATTTAAACCAGAAGCCCTCGAATAAATATGGAAGGACAAGATTGGGGTTGCTGTCATCACTTAGCCCACTGGGGTTTCAACAAGATATATACAAATCTTTACTTCTCTGTAACATGTGATTAATGTTAAGGGGCTGCCATTAATGCAAAATGCAGAGATTGCAAGCTCACCCTAAATGTGCTATACTGCTAAGAATACAAATACGTAGTATAAATTTATCTAGGAAAAGGTGTAATTTTTGTTCTTCAATTATTTCTTGTAAGCTGTTTTAGTCTCTAATTTTTTATCGTTGCAATATACATCTTTAACTATTCAAAAAGTTATACGGAGTAGTTTTAAACCATGGAGCAACAAAACAATTAAACTTTATTAAAATGATACTACTTAGTACATGTGTATTTTAATACTTTTTAATGTTTTTTCTTTTATTATAATCTTATTTAGTCTCGATACTTCATTTGTATGTAAAATAAATAAAAAAAAATATAATTTTAACAAGGTCGTGTAAGAAAAATAGGAACGATGTGCCACAATTGAAAAGGAAAATTTTAGGAAAGAAGGTTGTCAACTCTATTTTGCAAATGAAATATCAAAACTGACAATGTTAAGTATAAATGAAAGAACAAAGATAATACAATTTTAAAATATCCATGTACTAAGTAAAATATAAAAATGCAACTTAATTGTTTAAATAGTCAGGGGTATATATTGCAACGGTAAATAGTTAGGGACTAAAATCGCTAGCAAAGAATAATTGAGTGATAAAAATTACATCTTTCCCTTATATCTATATGTGTGTACATGCCCATCCTAATCACGGCTAAGAGCACCCTTATCAGTGCATATTTGGAGGATTTTAGAACAGTGTTGGTTGACAAAATGGAGAGAGAAGGTAAGAAAGAGACGAAATTGATTCATCTGCAAGCTTGAGGTTTTGGAACACTAACTTGAAGTGCCAAGCCGCAATGCCAAATTGGAGACTGTGCACGTTTGGTGCACAGCAGTGCACGCACCCGATGGCGCATCAGGCGCGCCTAACAGTTTGTTTTTTTTTCTAATTTTTTTTAAATCAATTTTGTTTTATTTTTTTTTTCTCTTTTTTCTCTCTCATCTCCTATTTTCTTTCCTAATCACACTTACAAAAACTCATCAAAAAACACAAAAAAAAAAACAAAAAAATTACCATTATGATGCTCTAAGGGTTGTTTGGTGTACCCTGCCAAAAGATATTTATTATGATCACAGTAAATTTCATAACGATTATCGAATAACTAAATAAGTAATTGTAATGTAACATTATTTATCAGTAGAGGTTAGTAGAAGTATCACACTTTTGAATATAATATTTGTTAGAATAATCAGATCTACCAAAATTGGTAAATAGATTTATATATGTATATGTATATATGTATGTATATAGTAATTGATATAGATGTAACCCCTTGTTCTTAATGAGGTTGGAAAGGGACCTCTTCACTGCCCTCAGGGCTCAGCTCATTTAATTTTGGCCCTACTTCATTTTCTTGTCTTGTCAAAGTAAAACAAAAGGTTAAGATTAAATACTAAGTTCAGCTTTTTTGCTGTGAGAAATTGAAGGTAGGCCTACTGGAGTTGTCTTCTAGTCTTCTCACTCAGTAAATTCTCTGTGCTTTTAGCAAGCTAGGAGATCAAGCTAGCATGCATGTAAGTAGGTTTTTAGCTTAGCTCTCCCCCCTCGTTACCTTTTTTTTTCCAAAATGGAAAAAAACAACAAAAAACTATTGTATCCTCTTCTACATGACCAAGCCTGCATACAGCTTTTACTTTTATGTTACAACTAATTAATATCCTCGAGAAGATATAACAACTGTACACAACACATGAATAACACTATAGGTGAAACTTCAACTCTTAAAATCGGGTATTTGATTGGAACGAGGGAATTAGCGACGAAATGAATTGTAATTTTGTGAGAAAAGAATAAGTTGGAAATTGCAAAGCACCTTAAGGGAAAGTCACAGGATCGAACTCCGGTGGTGGAGGTATTGACTCTTTAAGCTGCAATAGTTAGAGAAAGAGAAAATTGTAATTTATGCTCCTCACAAATATGTTAATTATCAATGTCACCCCTGAATTATTAGTAGTATAAATGTTGTACCTCAATTTTCAAAACATGACATATGTTGTTCCTCCCCTGAATTATTAGTGGTGTAAATATGGTTACCCGTCGTTTTCCCTGTTCGAAGACAACACTCTTTTTCCTCCATTTTCTTTCTACATTTGTTCTCCTTTCGCCAATAACAATGTTTCTCCTTCTTCCTATTACGAAAGTGGCAATATATGTCATGGTTTGAAAATTGAGGAGCAACATTTACACCACTAATAATTCAGGACTGACATTGATAATTGACATATTTGTGAGTGACATAAATTACAATTTTCTCTAATAATAATAATAACATGGGAAAAATAGTAATTTCATTAGTGAATTACAATTCCACAATCTGTGAAATTGGAATTCCTAGGAAGAACCCTAGGAATTGCAATTTCATGGTTGGAGGGAATTGAAATTCCCTCCAACCAAACCATGGAGTATCAGGCCGATTAATAAGTGATATGATTGCCATTAACTAGTTAGTCCTTAATTTTAGTTATGATTCATTGCGGGTTTGATAAATCGCTAACTTCTCTATATACAACATTAAACTCGATCTAATGAAACACTTAGATCGTGATCCGGGTAATAGTTTGGATTTACAAATTTGACAAGTTAATAATAAAAGATAATGAGTGTGTATTCTATATTGTTGTTGTCGCTCATGTTACGTGGGGAAGACTTAGGTTCTGAATTGGCTTTAGTGATGGGTAGTCCTTTGTTGACAAAAAAGTGAATGAGCAAAATAGACTTATTAAGAGCTTGAAAACCAGGTGGGGGATGGGGCATCCTTTGCCCCTAAACCCCTTTTTAGTTGTTCCTCACTTGTTATCCCTTGGCATGGTTTATTATAAGGCAATGGGTAGACAAATGAGGCCCCATTATATTATATTATTCTTGTTGCTTATTCTTTTGGGAGAGGATATCTTGACTTGCCTTTGTCTTGGGCTCCATGTGGGGAAATTCTGCCCTTCTGTCACCGACAATCTCACATAAAATGTGTCCAAAATCTTTAGCATACACCTATAGTACAATACAATTTCTACAACTTTAAAAAAATGTGTCGTTACTCATAATAATATATAGTGGTGTTTGGTAAATAGCTATTAGCTGTTAGCTGATTAGGTTAGTTAGTTTGACTAGTTAATAACATAAGCTGATTGTAGAAAGATGGTTGGTAAATTAGTTGTTCGCTGATATATAGG